AAGGAAGCGCCATATCATTTTCCAAAATGGTTGTATCATTTTGCATTCCCACCAGCAGTGCATAAGAGTTCCAATCTCCCTGAAGCCTCTCCAACATTTGTTGTTTTCTGTTTTTTTGATTCGTGACGGTATTGCTGGGGTGAGATGGTATCTCATTATAGTTTTGATTTGCATTTCTCTAATGGCTAGTGATCCTGAGCATTTCCTCATGTGTCTGTAAGCTGCTTGAATGTCTTCATTGGTGAAGTGTCTGTTCATTTCCTTTGCCCATTTTTAATTGGATTATTTGTGGAAAGGTTGCCTTTGATACTCTCCCATTCATGGTAGACGGGTTGTAGAATTCACAAAGAATCAGACCTATGAATGCTTTCCCGGTGATGGCTGGAGAAATGCCTTCAATTAGGGGCCAACCTTCAGGTGATAAACAAATGTATTAATAACTTTGTTGGTTGTGTCTGCATGTTGAAGACAGAGAACTTCCCCCTTAAGATCAGGAACAAGATAAGGATGCCTCTCACCACGGCTTTACAGCATTGTCCTGGAAGTTCTAGCCAGAGCAATTAGGTAAGAAAAAGAAATAAAAGACATCCAAACTGGGAAGGAAGAAGTAAAACTATCCCTTTTTGCAGGTGATATGATCCTGCATATAGAAGACCCCAAAGAATTCACAAGAAGGCTATTAGAGCTAATAGATGAATTCAGCAGAGTGGTAGGATGCAAGGTCAGTGCACAGAAATCAGTAGGATTTTTATACATCAGCAATGAGCAATCTGAAAAGTAAATTAAAGAAACAATTCCATTTATAATAGCATCTAGGAATTAATTGAACAAGAGAGGTGAAAGACTTGTACTCTGATTAAACAAGAGAGGTAAAAGACTTGTACTCTGATTATTTACAATATTAGCATTTTATAGGTTCATTAAGTCCCAACAAGGAATTGAAGTCCCATAATTACAAATCCACAAATCTGCAGGGGTTCCTGTGTGTACCACCATTTGCTCAAAATCAAGTCTGGGGCTGGTTCTTATAATGAAAGGGAGCTTGAGGATGGATTTTGTACGAGGAAGGGAGCTCAGATCTGTTTCAATAGAAATTTATTCCATTACCATGGCCTTGCAGCCATCTACCACACTACATCCACAAACTGGGATGGACTCTCATATGCACTTGAAATGGTTAGTGACATATCCACAACAGTATAGAATAGTATCAAGGAAAATTTACTTTGAAATACGCATGGAGAGTGAAAAATAGTTTATTTCTGAAATTCCGCAAAACGTCTCCCAAGAATTTCAGTGGAGTGCACTACAGCCTGCATAGAATCTGTACATACAGGAACACCAATCTCCCTGTTACCAAAAATGACATTGCCCAGGTTAGATAACCAGAAAGATGAATGTTGTATTTCTTGCTGTTGTTGCCCTAGGTCATTTTAGGGAGAAAAGGGGTAAATCATCTATCAAATGTATAGTTTATTAATAGAGTAGAAAAATAAACAATAGGGAAAGACAATGATGGTAAATACAAATTAAGAATGACTGAAGAAAAATGATCATATTTCCCATCTGAAGATATAGAATTGGACCTTTTGTTTAGCAGCCGAGCTCTTAACCACTGCGCAACCAGGGCTCCTCATCTTCACCAGTGCTTTTAAACTACACTGATTCCATGCCCCAGACTACTGTGTAAGAATTAGTGCCGTAATATCCATGGTTTTGAGCAACGATATTTGACATTGTACAGTAGATTGGAGGTGTGGACTAGAGAAGCTAATGTGTTAAATACAGCTCAAGCATTTATTTTCCATCACTCCCTCTCAGAATATCATGACCACATACCTCTCACACCCTCCCTTATATTAACAAACTTATATAAATAGGTTCTTGTTTTTTGTCAGGTTCCAAATGATTTTCCAATGAACAATATTAATAGTTACTAATGATCAATTACCTACTATGTGCTGAGGAGCCCTGGTGGCACAGTGGTTAGAGTACTCAGCTGCTAACCAAAAGGTTGGCAGTTGGAACCTTCCAGCCACTCAGCAGGTTAAAGATGTGACAGTCTGCTTCTGTAAAGATTTACAGCCTTGGAAACGCTATAGGGCAGTTCTACTCTGCCCTAAAGGGTCACTATGGGTCAGAATCGACTCAACAGCAATGGTTTTTTTTTTTTTTTTTTTTTTACTATGTGCTGGGTTGTTGTTGTTATTTGCTGTCGAGTCAATGCTGACTCATGGCCACCCAAAGTGTGCAGGGTAGAACTGCTCCGTAGGGTTTTGAAGGCTGTGACCTTTCAGAGGCAGATCGCCAAGCCTATCTTCAGAGACGCTTCTGTGTGGGTTTGAACCACCAACCTTGCAGTTAGTAGTCGAACGCTTTACCGTTTGCTCCACCTAGGGACTCCAGGTAATTTGTAAATATGAGTTACAATCCTTTTAATCAAGGGTTATATTTAAAATATTTAATAACCAGTATGGCACAGGCATCAGCCATCACTAAAACCAGCTTCCCGAATATTGGGTAAAGAGATATTTGGAAGAATTCTTCATGTGGAAATTACTTTTCTCCTAAGTGTTATAGGTGAACTGTATAGACGCGACAGTCTATATCCTTTGTGAAATATAAGGCAACTTGGAAAGTCTTATGAAGGATTCATATACTTACTGAGACCCACAGGGGCTGTAAGAACACCCGGTAAAGTTCAGTGTGGGCCACCCTTTCCAAAGAGGAGAAGTTCATTCTCTATTTATTGACTAAAAAATAATAGTAATCATGTTAATTAAGAAGGGTCGCTTACCACAGTTCGATTTACCTAATGCTCTCGAAAGTATCTACCTTCCATGTTTTTAAAATCAACACACTTGGATAAAGTTAATTCTTGTTCTCACTCTACTTTGGAGAATAGAATTATACAGAATGCATTTTTGTTCTTTGAAGTAGATTTATGACTTCTTCATTCTGATCTTAGTAAGCTAAAATCATAATATTAGTGTTATTTTTTTCCTAAAGAAAGGCCCCTTCCGTCACTAGATGTGTGATATGTAGTTGTAAAAGTGTAAAAATCCATGTGTGTCCCCAGCATTAATTAATAGGCCAGCTGCAGTTGTCATCAGTCAAGACTGGGCTGATGTGACCTTTTGAGGTAATCCTTTTTGCTGCCTAAATGTCAGCACACAGTTATTAGTTCAAGTCTTGACAGACGGCATTTCATCTGAGGTAAAGTTTGCGGTGGTTTTGTAAAAGAGAGAGGCAAGTGTAGTTTTGGAAACAGGAAAATCTAGCAGAGATTCACAATGAAACCTGGGGCTTTCAAGAAAAGCTTAATTATTATGTTTTTGTTTATTGTTTTATTCTCCACGTAGCGAATATTGTCTTTAGTTTTCCCCTCACAG